GCCAGTGCCTCCCCGACTCGTCCTGGAAGATGAGGGGCGTGTGGAAAGACCATTTGATGCGTTTCAGGGACAGCACGGCTGCGGCTAGCGGACCTTTCACGCTGCCCCAATGCTTCGGCGGGGCTCGAAGGATCGGCTCGGCGAGCCGCACCAACCGAGGGAGGCTGAGGCTGTTGGATGGGGTCCTCACCGTGTGCGCGCGCCACACAATCTTGGTCCACGTCAGCGCGGGCGCCAGGCCTTGGCGCCAGGTAGGGTCGTCATGAAGCGCCAGGGAGATTGACCTTGAACGGGCGTCCCCGCGAGAGCCAACCATGGAAAGGTAGGTCGACTGGAGGTCCTGCAGCTCTGTCGTGTCTAAGCCCACAACGTCGACCCCGTATGTCCCATACGAATCAAGACCTGTCGTAAACACCTTGCGCATGGCTGTGCCTGCTCGCCGGATGGCTGCCAATCGCCTTCTCCTCTTCGCTAGCTTGTTCATCCTCTGCTTGAGCACTGGGCGGCTTGCTTTCCGGCACCGTAGGTTGCCCACGAAGTAGTCGATGCCCAGGTTTCTACCTGAAGGGGCCACCGTGCCGGCACGAGTACCAAGGGCCCTACCCAACCGACCGCGCAGGGAAGTTGAATTAGCTAGAGTAACCGACTTCTTCACTGCAGCCGAGCACCCCAACTCGTCCTCTATGACGCGGTTCAGCGACACGGCCCCCTCCACGAGGGCTCTGATAACCTGGTCCTCGCTGCTGTCCGTCTTACCGACATGGAGGTCGTCAATGAACAGCGATAGCGGGAGATGTAGGTGTTGCGCTTGCCAATGGTCGAAGGGCTCTAGCGTGTAGACCTGCACGTAGTAAGTTGCAAAACCATCTCCCGCCGCTATCCCTCTCCCGGGGCAGCCGATCTCTACTGTGGCCGAAAGAGCCCCTGACCCCTGCGCGTAGGTTAGGAAACGCGACGCCTGGTATTGGTTAAGGGAGACGCAGAGAAGTCGCCGCGGGAATCGGGCAGCCTTCGCTCGCCGCCATAGGACCGGTCTCTGAACATGCTCGTAGTAGTCGGCCATGTCGTACAACAAGGCTCCCGAGTGCATGACTTTCCCGCCTGAGCTGGCGGACTCCGGCTCCAGGGCCTGTTGAAATACTATTTCCGAGATGCTTCTGCCCTTCTGGTGGCATAGGAACGCACGGGGGTGAGCCGCCTCCCACTCCTTCGCCAGCGGCTGACGGCACTTAACCCATAAACGGTACAGTGCCGGGAGGAGGGCGATTCCCCGAAAGGCTGGGACCCCCGGCTGCTTGGAAGCTGCCTTTTGCATGAGCGTCGTGATGACGGCCAAGATCACCGTCGGGAACCTTCCCAGGGCCTCTACGGCATACAACAGGATGATGACCACCTGTAGCTGATCGTCGTCTAGTAGGGCAAAATGACGGGGATGGAAGCCGTCGAATGTCTGCGCCGTCCCCCGCGCGAATGACTCTGACGCGGCCCGCACATCGGGCGGTGTGAGGGTGGGCAGTTCATCCTCATCTGCTGGTGGCACATAAGGCTCGGGGCCTACCTCCGTCGCCTGCCAGAGCTCGGCGAGCCGCTCCGCTTCGGCCTGGAGGAACCTGGATGGGCGCCCAGACCACTCACCGTTCCAGCGCATCTGCGTGGGCGTCCACATCGGCTGGTCCTTGGTCCAACGATGCGCCCATGCTACTGACCTGTTGTTGGCCTCCGTTACCCACGCCCTCCACGCCTTGGTGCGGTCTTGGGCCGCGAGGTCACTCTCCTTCCTGAGGAGCCCGGCAATGCGCTCGGCGGGTTCCGCAAGCAGCGCCAAGGCCTGATCGATAGGTAATGCTCTATGTGACCCATCCGGGGCTATCTGCTGGCAAGCGTTCGCGGCGTCCTGCAACGCTGCCTGCGGTATAGATCACCGGGGGCCTTGGCTACCCTGGGTCCTTCTACCTGCCCTAGGCTTGCCTAGGGTAGGGCCTACTGAAGGCCCTAGGCTTCCCGAGGGTAGGCCCTACTGAAGGCCCTTGGTTTCCCCTGGGGCAGGCCCTACCGAAAGCCCTCGGCTTCTCGAGGGCAGGCCCTACTGGACACCCTAGGGTAGCCCTAGGGCAGCCTATGGGGTAGGCCCTTGGGGTAGCCCTGGGTTAGTCCTAGGGGTGGGCCCTAGGGGTAGCCCTAGGGTAGCCCTGGGGGTATGCCCTGGGGTAGCCCTAGGGTGTGCATGGCCCAGTGGCGCCCCTGAATGACAGCCAGGGCCCCCTCGATTAGGGCGGGGGGCCTGGATGCCACCACCACTGAATTGGGTGCTCTTGAGGGGCGAACGCCCCGGCATCAGCATGCAACGCACGAGGGAACAAGGTCCCAGCATGCATTAGGCAACAGGCAACGCATGAGGGCTTATGATGGCAAACGACGCTATCCCACTACGTGGGATTGTGGGTGGCGCAAAGCTGAAACGGACAATGGGGGAACCGACAGGGGGTCCTCATAAGCACTGGGCTTCTCAGGCTCTCCGGCAGATCGGCGAGCATGGGGAGGAATGCGGCGTAACAGACCGCCGGTTCCCCGGCTGTCCGTTTCAGCTGGTCGGGTCCGCGGATGTCCTAGACTACTGCAGATGCTACTTTTGCTTACCCCATGGGCCTTTATACCCTTTGTGGCGGATGAGGACGGGTGGGGGGGCGTGTATATGAGTATGTAACGGAAGGCGGTGCAAGCTAAAGCGCCGCATTGACACCAGGCCCTCGGGCAAACGGCAGACATGAGACTGTATGGGCCGGCGGAATGAGCGAAGCGATTAAATAACGAATCGCCCCCCCTCGGCCGGCCGCACACCCGAGCAGACACGCACATCACTGACCCAAGAGCTGCAGCAGCGGCAGGCGGCTAAAGCGATGTGCTTGACGATGGCTGCGCGCGCGGCGGCTGGTAGGCTGATCCAGTCGAATCAGCGGGTCGGGGGCTACTGTGAACTTGCTATGCAGTGGTCCTTAGTCCCCGACCCTTTGGGCAATGGGCGTGGGAGGGCAGCATATTGAATGGCAAGCTGATCCGGTCGAATCAGCGGGCCAGGGGCTACCGCGAACTTGCTGTGCAGTGGTCCGTAGTCCCCGACCCTTAAGGCGAAGCGGCGGTAAGCAGTACGCATGATGCACATACAGGCCACCCGCGTGGTGGTTACGGCAGTGAGATGTTCAACTACTACTTGGGCCCTGGTCGCTCCTGTCGAAACGACCGGCTGAGTGCTGCATGCGAACTCCGTGAGTCCGTAGCTCTTTGCCTCCGTACCCCAAACTCCTATCCCGAGCATCGGAATATGGGTTTGGGTCCCCGGGCCCCAGTCAACCACTGTATGCTTACTGACGCTCAGCCTCGAGCCATGGCAGGCTCCAATCATGCACGAGCTGGCCGAATTAAGCCTTTGTCGCCCCGACCCCCACTCCCTGGCCCTCGTGGTCGGGGTGCTCGTCGGACCCCAGCAGGGATCCTTAAAGGCTGCCCCGTGCGTCCCCGACCACATCGAGAACCAAGAAGCCTGGGGGGTCATTGGCACGGGGGGAGGAGGGAGGAGGAGGAGGGAGGAGGAGGAGGAGGGAGGAGGAGGAGGAGGAGGAAGCGGAGGAGGAGGAGGAGGATAAGAGGAAACGGGGAGGGCAGCTGCCCCCGAGTTCACCCCCAAAGGGGGGCGCCCTCGGCTCGCCGAGCCGGCGGCTTCGCGTGGGCGGGGCCGTCGTCGGTGGTCCAGCGCGATGGGGTCCTGAGGGATCGGGCTCCAAGGACGGGGTGCCTCAAACAATGTACATCCATCCTTGGATACCCTCCGATCCTCAAGACCCCATGCTTCAGGACCGCATCGTTGAACCGCCGACATCGGCCCACTCGGTCGCATCGCGCCCGGGCATGGTCCCCGAGGCAAGGCAGATCTGCCTCTGCAGTGCGCGGTGGCGAGTTGTAGGGCGGTGCAGCGAAGGCAGTCTTGCAAGAGGGCGGTGGGGCCTTCTTGAGAAGGAGTTGGCCTTTTGAGAAGTGTGCCAGGCCTTCTGAGAGGCGGGGGCTCGTTCGTCGAGTGGTGACTCCATGACCTTGCCCCTTGTTGCTTGATGCCCAAAGGCAGCCCCGCGCATGCAATTCTGCTGGCTTGTTTTAGAAGTTTTCTTCACAGCCGAACCGAACACTTCTGGCGGGCAGGGGTAGCGGGTGAGGGAGCAGAGGGGAGGGGGAAGCAATATGTGAAGGGAAGATGCGCATGTCATGAACCAGTTGGAGGCTTAGTGTGCGCAGTGTTGGGCCTGAGTCTTTGACTTCGCTGGCAGTGTGATCTCGGTCGTCCAGCGCAGCGTAGAATAATCTTGTTGCCCCGCTGAGTTTCAGAGTTCGCGCTGGAGAGTGCTGGCGTCCACAAGCAGATGCGCAGTCGCACTTCGCATTCGCAGTTCGCGTGCATTTGCCCTTCAAATCCGCAGCGGCAGCAGACGGAGTTCGCCAGTGTCGCTACTTCTCAGATCAACCCTGCTGCACTCTCTTGGAGACCCCAGGGGGTCAGCCGACATGACACGCGCGCTATCTGGAAAATCGAACAGCACATTAAGCAGCAACATGGAACGGCGAGCGGCAGCAATTGTGACCGTGCACTCAGCATTGCTCAGCGTTGTATCTGGGGGCCCCTCCCTGAAGGGTGTATTCGTTTTCCACTCGAGGCCTGCTGCCCGCGTCGGGTCCGAAGATGACGGTGGGGGAGTGAGTCTGGGTTGTCCAGGGCACGTCGGCAATTGCGTGATTGGCAGCTTTATGTTGGCGTATGCATGAAGCAACGGCGTCGGTGCGGAGGCGGTCATTGACCAATTTTGTAGGTTCATGTATGGTTGACAGGAGGCGTGGCTCACTTCGTTGCTGTGTCATCTGTCTATATCTTTCTGACAATGGCGACTCCACGCTTCCACCTCCTCTGCCAGCAAGTGGAGAACGTGGGCGATACCGTCCAGGATTTCGAGAGGCGCATGAAGCCTCCGTTCGTCCGCCAGGGGCGGAGGTGGAGTGAAGTGGAGGAGTGTGGCACCCGATCCCACAGCGCGCCGCCGCTTCCAGAGATGCGCATGCGAGTTCGACAGCGCCGTTTCTACAATACGCAGTCGCTAAATCTGGCCTTTCGATTTGGGTTTCGATGCGCTTGGCTCCCTGTCGCCTCCGATGCCCCTGGAGAGGGAATGAGTGGGTGACGGATGACTATGAGGTGAAGGGGGCTTGCACGGGATGGTACTCCTTCTGGAAATAGGTGTGGGTAGATACAGCATCATGCGTTTGCCGTTGACGCGCAATGAGATAGAGAGCCAGGGATGCTCCATTGCAGGGAAGCGAGGTGAGGGAATCGCTGTCCTGCGTCATCCGCAGCAGCATGTGCACAGGCAGGGAGGTACACCGTTCGACCAGGCTGGAATAGGGAGCAAGTGACGTGTAGTGAGATTCGCCCGCTGTCGCCTGTCCACTTTGACTGTTTACACAGCTACGCTTGTTTGGCTGAGTTGTGCGTTGGTCGGCTGGCTTGTTGGCAGTTCTGCTAATTGGCATATTGTTAAACTAGCTGGTTAGCAGTTGGTGTTGGTTGGCTGATTGCGCGCATCTGTAGTAATTGATCAGAGATTGGGTCCTCGGTAGCGCGCTTACATTTTAATGCACGAGGTTTCGCAGCTTCTGGCAGTGCGCATCCCGTTCTATTTTCATGGATTCGTAGCCTCGAGCCCAGGGCCGAATCTTATGGATATGAAGTGTGGGGGCAGCGAACCGCCCCCCGAGCGCGGCATTGTGGTCGCGCGGTTGATAGCGACGCTCGGCGGGAGTTGTCCTTCACCTTTCTCTCATCCCGTCCGTCCTTTTCTTTTCGTACTCAGCTGGTCGCGTCTGCTCACAGCACTTAGTGTTTTTTCGTACTTGGCGTCTTGAGCGCATATCCGAGTGCTGTTGGGCATCCTCCGTTGTGCCTGGGTTCGTGGTCTCGGGGGTGCGAATATACACCAGTTGAAAAGAAAGCATGACCTCGAGAGGGCGAACGTGTAGTAATTCGCATGGGATCTTTGCCTCGGGAGCGCGAGAGTCTTGAAGTTCAGACTGGACTGGCCTCGGGAGCGCGATCGCGCCTCACTGTTCGAGGGCCTGTGGCCTCAGGGTTGCGAACAAGCTGTAGATTGTGTCAGGGTTGCGTTTTCTGGTGCGCCAGCGCAAGTTAATTTGCTTGAGATTGCGACCCAGGGGGCGCAAATGTGTCGCAGTCTACAGAGTATCGCGGTCTCGCGAGCACGAGCTTGTAGCTTCCGCGTTCGAACGCACATCGGCTTGCACACCGAATTGTGGATATCAATCGTGTAGTCACATGTACAGGCAGAGGCGATTCATCCCCCACATATGCAAAACGGCATACGACGTTGGAGAGATAGGGGGAGGAACATCAACGCATTAATGAACAACCGAGAGTTGTCTCGTCTGGTGGTGTCCCGTTGTGAGTCGCGCTCCTCTGAAGCGACGGTGGTGTTGATGGGCGCATGGCGCGAGCCAAACTGTGGTTTGGCAATTTTGTGGACCGTTTTCGTTTTGATCTCGTTTTGCAAGAAAGGCGGAATGAAGACCGAACGAGGGAAAAGACGAAAGCAGCAAGACAACGGAAGCCCCTCTTCAGCTCGCGCCCTGAGTGGGCGCTTTCTGACCCCTTGGGTGGATCGACTACAGAATTTGGGATGCAACTTCTGGGAGGTCAAGTTCTGATTTTGCACTGGTCTGAAGTCCGGCTTAATCCCGCCTAATCCCGCGCAATCCCGTTTAATCCCGTCTAATACGGTTTCTTAATCACGCTTTATCTGAGGCCCACTCCGGCGTAATAGCTCCCAAATGGGGCTTAATCCTCCTTAATCTTTCCGACGGAAACCTTCCAGTACTTGCATCCTAAGACAATTGGTCCATCATGTGCTTGTTCGTCGAATCTACGCAGAATTTGTGGAATTTTGCGAATATCCGCGGAGCATTCTGTGTAGTCTTCGTAGCTTCGACGGAAACAGCCAATCTCGTGGCAAATTGATTCTGGATTCGATCCCCCACTCCATGTGTCTGTCGCCGTTTCTGTTCTCTGTTCCATCGCCCTGCTTTTTCCCCCGCTCTGGTTGCAGTTCCAATCCTGGAGCCGTTCTGTCTTTGTTTTTTGCCGCAGCGTTTGTTACGTACCTGTTTCAAGGGACATTTTTTCCGGCAGCGGTGCCAATGCCTCGCCGCTTCCGCGGCCACTTCAGGGCGAGGCGTCGAGGCTTGCCGCCGCGGGCGCCGGGCAGGTCGCCATCCCGCAGCAGGAGGCGGGCGACCGACTCACGCCACAGCAGCGCAGGGGCGTCGAGGACGCCCCCCGTTCGCGCGGGCTGCCCCCCCAGCGGTCCGTGGAGTCGGTTTGCTTGCCTTCGTCTTCGTCCAAGGCTACAGGAGGGGTCTTGAAGAAGGAGCCCTTTTCGTTGGGGAGGGGCTCGGTGTTCCTTGATTGTTTCGAAGTTTGCCTGTGGTTTTCCTGAGGTTTTCCACAGGACATCGAGGTTGAACTTATTCAGAGCGTGAATTACATACCCCGCTTTCGCTTCCAGGCAAAACCAAGTCATGCCACGTTCCTCCTCGTCGAGCGGCCTGACCAGTACGGGCCGCAGTTTGGCATCGCTTGGTATCTCTTGGAAGCGAGGGTGGTCAAAAGCGAGGTAGGTTTGTCTGCCCCCTATTTCTTCGTCTTCGTCCACTGCTATCGCCCCACGGCTCCGAGAGGCCCCAGCACAACATCGCCGCGCGGCCCCCACGGGGGGGGGACGGGTGGCGGGGGGTGGCAGGGGCTCTGCGGTGCACCGGCAGCGCATCGGCAGCTCGCGCGCACCAGCCAGCCGACGGCAGCACTCTTTCCCCCTGGCTGGGGGGCGACATCCGAATCCTACGATGGAGACCCATGCCAAGAGACGCCCTGCTTGCCTCCAGGGTGCCCTATGTCAAGGGCAGAAAAAACGCCCCTACCCTGGTTTACGAGGCGCTGTGCGCTGAAACTCCTGTGGGCTGACAGGGCACACCCTGCGTGATGTGCCGCGTCCTGGCGGCTCTAGGCGTTGAGGTTTCCCAGGAGGTCTACAGACCACGCACTTGTAACCCAGGGTAGGGCCGTTTTTTTCACCCCTCGACTATGTTGCTTGGGTTTCGATGGTTTTGCTGTGGACAGCGCGACGTTCCCGCACCAGAAATCAATGGACGTCCAGGTCGTCTCAGAGTTGGGTTTCTTGTGGGAGGTTTCTTGTGGACTCGCCTCCACTGCATCGCCACCAACCATCGGTTCTCCTGATTCCATGGGAGGCGGAGACAGGGTTCGGATTTCGCCACGCGCTCGACGAATTCCAAACCCTACTCCATCCGCCCATGGAGTTGCTCGAGTCGTTAATTGGCGAGCGTAGCATTCGGAATTAGCGATGCCGTTACCCACCTTGCCTAGTCGGCGAGCGTAGGATCCGGAATTTGCGATGCCGTTACCCAGCTTGCCCGTGCGCGCGCTCGGATTACCTCTGCTTCGCTGCGACGCGCAAGGTGTGGGGTTCGGATTTCGCCGCCGACCGGCGGGAGTGGCGCTCACTGCGTCGGCAGCAGCGCCCATGCCTCTAGTCGCAGGGGGGCGGGGGCATTGCTGCCAGAGCAGGAGCAGTAGGGGCCAAGGGGCTGGCGCGGGCGCCGCTCGGATGCAGGGGGAAGGGGGACTGAGGAGGGGATGTGTCGCCCCGTGCCTGTCCCGCCACTTGCTGGGCCTTGCTTGGTTGCTCGGCGCCCCTGTGAGCTGCTCGACCGGCCCGCGCGCTCTTCGGGCCTATGGGCAAAAATGTGTGCGGACTGAGTCAGACCCCCGCGCGACGGAGCTCGGATTTGCTCACGCTTTTTGACGAGCCCGCCCCGGATTCTGACGGTCCAGTTTTCGTAGGATGTTTGCAGCGGGAGCTCGCGTCAAGTCTCAGACCGGTCTTCGGCACTTTCTTGCGGGCCTCGCCAGGCCAACCCGAGTCCCACGTCTCCCCGAGCGAAAGGGGGAGGGCCGGGGGGGGGCAGGGGTGACGGGAGGGAGGGGGGCGAGGTGCGAGGCGGTTCGGTTGAGGGGTGGGTGGGATTGGGGAGGGGCGGGGGTAGTCATTCTGGAGGGAAAGAGGCACACAGACACAATAAATCGTCGATTCCCCCGAACATGGGAAGATATGGGAAGTGGGGGGGGATACGAAAACCCCAAACATATGGGAAACTTTGGGGAATCTTTTAATGGTAGTGTCCTTCGGCCAGTGCCGCCGATCCGGGTCGCTCGAATACACATATTACGCGGACACCTCACGCACGCACACGACCAAATGCACATACGGCAGACACACATACAGAGACACACTAGGCGCACGCCAGACACTAGCACGCACAGACATTCGCAGACACGCACCACACACAGACACTCGCATAGGAGCCTGTCAGGGCGTCGTGGGGGCTTCTTGGGGGCTTTTGGGGCCCTCTTGGGGGCTCTTGGGGCCTCCTGGGAGCCTCGTGGGCTGGAAGGCTAGATTTTTGTTCCGCTGTTCGTCCCTCTTTTGGGTTCTCTTGGGGCCGTCTTGGGGGCCTCTTGGGCCGTCTTGGGCGGCTCTTGGGCCGCCTTGGGGCCCTCTTGGGCCGTCTTGGGACTGTCTGGGGGCCTCCTGGGCCGTCTTCGAGCGGTCTTGGAGGCCTCTTGGGCCGTCTTGGAGCGTCGGAAAGCAGAAAAAAGCGACAACCCCAAAAACATGAAAAAAAAAAACTAGTGGAAATCAGCGATTTTTGCCTGTGGGGGCCCTCGTGAGAGGCCTCTTGGAGGCCTCTTCAGACGTCTTGGAAGGCTCTTGGGCCGTCTTGGGGCCATCTTGGGCGTGTTCGGGCGATCTTTCTGGGTCTGGGGACTTCTTAGACCGTCTTCAGAGATTTGTGTGGCCGCGGCCACCCTTTTAGCGCATCCTTCTGTAAAAGCAGCCCCCCGCGACCGCCGGAAAACTCGTACCCCCCCCCCCACCCACCCCCCCTTCCCTGGCAGAGCCACCCTGGCAACCCCCCCAGAGGCTGAGGCTCAGCCTCGAGGCTGTAGCTGATACTCCTTGAAACTCACACGCCTGATCGGCGGAATCTTTTTATTTAATCGCTTCGCTCATTCCGCCGGCCCATATTGTCGCACCGTTGTGGGCTAGCCGAGTTTTGGGGGCCGTTTTGGGGCCTCTTGGGGCCTCTTTTGGGCCTCTTGGGCGCCTCTTGGGGCGTCTTGGGGGCCTCTTGGGGGCCTCTTGGGGCCTTTTTGGGGCCTCCTGGGCGCCTTCTGGGGCGGAGGGCTCGATTTTTCAGTTCTCGGTTCCCCTCTTGAGCCCCTCTTGGGCCCGTCTTGGGGCCTCTTGGTCCGTCTTGGGCGGCACTTGGGCCGTCTTGGGGGCCCTCCTGGGCCGTTCCGGGGCCGTCTTGGGAGCCTCGTGGGCCGTCTTGGAGCGGTCTTGGGGGCCTCTTGGGCCGTCTTGGAGCGTCCGGAAGCCGAAAAAGCCAGAACACAAAAAACATCGAAAAAACCAATGAAAATCAACGATTTTGGCCTCTTGGGGCTCTCTTCGGAGGCCTCTTGGAAGGCTCTTGGGGCGTCTTGGAGGCCTCTTGGGCTGTCTTGGGGGCCTTTTGGGCCGTCTTGGGGTCATCTTCGGCGTCTTCGAGCGCTCTTTGGGCGTCTCGGGGGCCTCTTGGGCAGTCTTGGGGGCCTCTTGGGGCACTCTGAGCGCGCTCTGGGGAGCCTGAGAGGCCGCACCCAGAAGGAAAACCATCTCTGAGTAGACTTGGTCGGGCGGTGGTCGGGCGGCGGTCGGGCGGCGGTCGGGCGGCGGTCGGGCGTTGGTCGGGGTGCTTTTCGCCGGGGGACCCCCAGGGGCCGCCCCGCGCGCGCGAACTAGAAATACTGTTAATACTGTTAACCAGTTACCGGAGATCTTAGCACGCCCTGGCCCGTTGGGCCGGCGAATTTGTGTGTTTTTATTTGTGTGTCCTGGGGCCCCTTCAGTCGTTTTGGCGGAGTGGGAGGTCCAGGGAGGTCTGCGTGCGCGGCCGCGCCGTGGCAGCGTGCCCCCACAGGGCATCTTCGACCTGAACCCGGAAGACTTCCGCAACTGCATGCTGGTGCACATGAGCGCCGAGCCCCTGGAGGCCCGCCGCCGGCGGAGGGGTCAGAGGGCCAGGGGCTCTGCATCGCTCGGACGTGTGTCTTTTTGTCTCCTCGACGAAGAGCACCCCGGGTCCTGCGTCATCCTTCGAGGAAGGAAAAGCTACATTCACATAATCGCAGGCCTTGAGGTTGACACCAACACCAGTTTCGGCGGTGTGCCTCCATCGATGGAAGACGATCCCGATCTTTGTGATGGTGGTAGTATTCTGGCTTCCAAGGTGGCCGAAGTATTACCACCAACACCGAAATCTAGGATCATCCTCCCCCTATGGAGGCAACCCTCTGTGTTGGTGTTGGTGGCCATTTCCAGGCCTCCAAACATAAACTTTTGGCGCTCCGCCCGGGTTTCTTGGATCGGCGCCTGGGCCCCTCGGCGCCGCCCCTGGCGCGCGCCGCGCGCCAGGGAGGGGGGTCCGGCCACGATCCAAGAAATCCGCGCGGAGGGCCAAAAGTTTATGGTTATTCCGTTTTCTGTTCTTCGAACCTCGGAGGAAAACAACACGCACGACACCCGAGCAAAGCAGGGCCGCCAGAGACCCTTCGGGCAGCAAGCAAAACAGCGGGGCCCCGGCAGCGAGCTCGCGCCACACCTGGGGCTCCAAGCAGCAAGTGCCCGGTGGAGCGCTCGCCCCCCGAGAAGGGTACTTCGGGGCTCGGCGCTTGCAGAAGGGGGGGGGGAGGGGGGGGGAAGGGAAGTCAGAGCGTGAATTACCTACCCCGCTTTCGCTTCCAGGCAAAACCAAGTCATACCACGCGCCTCCTCGTCAAGCGGCCTGACCAGTACAGGCTGCAATTTGGCATCGCTTGGTATCTCTTGGAAGCGAGGGTGGTCAAAAGCGAGGTAGGTTTGTTTTCCCCCTACTTGGGGGAGACGGGTCCCGAGGTGTTTCACCGTTGTCGGGCTTTCAGGGGCCCGCCGCGGGCCCCAGGGGCGTCAGGGAACAGCACGCAGGGTGAATAGCAGGTCCCGGAGGAAGGCCGTGGGTTCCAGGACCCGTTCAACGGGTCCCTCCCCCACCAGGAGACAAAACCAGGGCCTCGACAAATTTGTTTTGCATTTTTTGAATTATTGATTGGTGGAGACAAACGCGGTCATCGCCGCGCCATTGCCCTGATTTAGCAATTTCGGTCGACGGACGCACGCGAAGCGCGCGCGAAACGGCGCTTCCTGCGGGACCCGCTCCCCCCGTGCTGATCCTCGGATTCTGCGTCGTCGGCCCGTCGACTGGGCTGACGTGCAGGCGTCGGCATTGCCCGTCTTGGCCTCCGCAGACGAGGGACTTCAGGAGGGAATGCCTACAAACCACAACATATAAACCAGTTTTGAGTTCCGGGCAGATCTGATAGTGTACCAAAGAGTCAGCATGTAAAGGAGCACTACAACCAGACTTTCACCGGTAGGCAACACGTGAAGCACGGCCCCAGCAGCGGCTCATAGGCCCGCCTCCCCTGCTGTTCCAGGCCTCACCCCGTGCTGCGGGGCAACGTTGCTTGGCAGGTTCGCCCTCTTTCCCTCTCTTCCTCCCTCTTCGTCGTCGTCGTCGCGTGCCGCTGTCGGGGCCATGCTGCTGCGGCTGTCGCCGTTCGGCGACAGGATTCGTGATCTTGACCCACGTCAATGTGAACGCTTCCAGGCTTGGCCACGCGCAGAAAAGGGGGATGGGGGAGGGGGGAAGGCTTCTTAGAAGCACCCTGCTTCTTAGAAGGCGCTGTCCTTGTCGGTAGATGTAAGGCCGGTGCCTTCTAAGAAGCAGCCTTTCCTAAGAAGCCGTCCCCCTCCCCCCCTTCCCACTACCCCCCTCAGCGCGCCGCCACCAGGCCTCCAGGGAGCCCCCTCACCTCCCCAGGGGCCCCCCCGACCTTTGGGGGGGGCCCTCAGGCCCCCTGGTTGGGCCCCCCTATCAAGTCCCCGGGGGGGCCCCCGCAACCCTCCCACGGGGCTTCCTCAACCTGCAGATGCTGTCGTTGCTGTCTTTGTTGCGTCGGAGAGACGAAGAGAGAGGCAGAGAGAGAGAGAGTTAGAGAGGGAGAGAGGAAGAGAGAGAGAGAGAGAGAAAAAAAAAGGGAGGGAGAGAGAGAGAGAGAGAGTTAGAGGGAGAGAGGGAGTGAGAGTTAGAGAGAGGGAGAGAGAAAGGGAGAGAGAAAGAGAGAGCAAGGGGATCCGCTGCCGGGGAAGGCTTTCTGGAACGCAGGAGGGCACTGCACCGACAACCGCTGCCAGGGCAGTGGCGCCCAATCGCGTCGATTGCATCTAGCCGAATCAGGGTTGCCCACACAGTCACAGGTGGATTTTCATGAGCTTTGACACGCGTCAGTATTGAAAATATTGGAAAGGGATGGGGACATGAACATCCATTAAACACATATATACATGGAACAGGAACATCCATCAAACATGTATATATATAGCTATATATATATATATATATATATATATATATATATATATATGTATACACATATCTGTAAAACATCGGAATCCTGGAAGGCGTGTGTGTGTGTGTGTTTGTGTGTGTGGGTGCTGCGATCCCTTTAAACATCTATGGGCCCCTTTAGAGGGGCTACGTGTTCTGAGTGTGCCCTCACCCTCTCTCTCTCTCCTCTCCACGGCCGCCTCCTACTGTGCGCAAGCAGCATTTCCTCCCGTGGCATGGAAACCGCATCCGCCGCGGTGCGATCGATTCCACCGCCGGTGTATGCCTTTTTTGCTCTTCGACTCCCTTTTTGGACCGACGACGTCATCAGCAGTTAAGAAGTTGGGATTGAGAGGACGTGTGAGAAGCAGCGTTCCGGCAGCCCGAGCAGGGCGCGCTCTGGCGCACGCCGGCCTTCGACCTTCGACCTTCGACCTTCGACCGTCGGGCCACAGCACATCTTGCTGGGCCTCCACGGCGCAGCGCCGTGCGCAGGCTGTGCGCGGCCCCCCGGCAGTTTCGCGACGGGCTGGCCCCAGCGGTGCGGGATGCGCGGCGGCACGGCCTCGCTTCAGGAGGGAAAAAAACACACAGACACAATTAATCGTCGATCCCCAGAAAATATGGGAAAATATGGGAAGTGGGGGTGAAGACGAAAACCCAGAAAATATGAGAAAATATGGGGAATATTTTTATTTGTGTGTATTTATTTGCGTGTCCCAGGGCCCCTTCATCGTTGGCCACAATTGGCGGAGGAAGGCCACGCGGGGGAACGGCGGCAACCCCTGGCGTAGTTTGAATTTTTGGTTCCTCATGGAGGCTTCTCGTCGCCACGGCAGAATCCGCCCCGAAACACTGGTCGTGATGGATCCTGGGAAGAGTCCAGGGACTGATTTTGAGCAGGCTCGGGCCAGGCGGGAGGTCAGCCGTTGTCTCGATTGGCCTTCCTCCGAAATTGGGCGCGCACGCTAGAGCGGGTTGGCATCACGTTGTTGGAGTTGTGTGGGTCGTTTGTCTTTTGATTGTGTTGTGTTCAACACAGGACGGTTTCTCCACTTCACGCTGATCGTGGTTGGTTCGTACAGGCGGCAGCGGCATCACAAAGGCGCAACTGTGCTATTCGCAAACGCCGTGTATTGCATCAGGCAGAGACAGCACCATGTTCAGCAACCAAACGAACAACACACAATGTAGTAGCAACGGCGCAAACTGGAGCAACACCGCAGCGAGGTACACTGCAACAACCACCGCGCAAAACTCCTTGTATTTTTTTGTTTTTGACTCGCGCCACGCGCGGCGCCGGGAGCCCGGAGCTGCAACTCATTAGCCTGGCATGTTCGGCAATTGTTGACGCTTCGCGTATCCCCACCAGCCCATCCAGAAACGATGCTCAGGGGAGTTGAGGTGATCAGGGAAGTCGGGGAGCATGCAGAATAACAAAGGGCGGGGGAAGCTGTCACAGACCCCGAGAGGGGGAGGATGGAAGAGGAGTCGTCGTCGTCGTCGTCGTCGTCGGAGGAGGAGGAGGAGGGGGAAGAGGAGGAGGAGGAGGAGGAGGAGGAGGACGGAGAAGGAGGAAGAATCGGAGGAGGAGGAGGAGGAGGGGAAGGAGCTTCTTGGGGGTCTTTTGAGGGCCTCTTGGAGGGCTTTTTGGGCGCCTTGGGGCATCTTGGGCGCCTCTTGGGACCCTCTTGAGGCGCTCTGGGGAGCCTTCGGGGCGCTTTTGGGGCCATCTTGGAGGGAGTCGATCAAACAAGAGGGGGGGTTTAATTAGCGCCCCCCCTCGGAAGCCCCTAAAATCGCCTCTTGGACCCCTCTTGGAACGCTCTTGGAGTGCTCTTGGGCGCTCTTGGGGCCGTCTTGGGGCTCTTTTGGGGCTCTCTTGGGGCCCTCTTGGGCCATCTTGGAGCCATCTCCAGGCCTCGGATGGCCATCGGAAGCGAAAAGGCGAGAAAGCAAAAATCATTGATTTTCCTTAGGTTTTGGGACGATTTTGGCCTCTTCGGGGCCTCCTTGGGGAGCTGTTTGGCCACTTGGAGTTATCTTGGGGCCGTCTTTGGGCTTCTTGGAACCATCTTAGGAGCCATCGTGAGCGATCTTGCGCTATCTTGAGCCATCTTGGAGCTCATCTTGGGTTCTCTGAGGCGCTCTTGGAGCCGTCTTGGGCCATCTTGGACGCTCTAACTACCCGCGGCCCCCCCCGTCCAGGTCCAGGGGAGGGGGTAGGGGGAGGGGTAAACCCCTCCCCAAGGGGGAAGAGGGAGGGGTGGAAGAGGATCTGTTCTAGACCACCTACGCCCAGAGGGCTGGTGGGATTAGGCGATTTGCTGCACGGCAGGGTGCGCAAGCGCCACCTCGCTGCCAGAGGTGAAGTTGGCGAACGTCTCGTTGTAGCACGCCCGTTTGGGCGGACCTGGGGAGCAGAGCACATGCTCAAGCGCAGCACCCCCAAGTCAGCAACTGCTGCATCACCCCGAAACCGCGCACCGTGTAGCGGCCAGACGCAGGAGGTGTGCCGTCTGTGCGACCAAGCTCTGCCACCGCTTGCGAGCCATATGTCCACGGGGCCAATCGGTGCCGGGCCTCGGGCATCCCCTTTGGGGTCCATTTGTTTGCAGACATCCCTTACGTTCGGAGCGTCAGCCCATTCTTCAGACCTCTGACCTACAGGGTCAGAGGGCAAAGCTCAAATCCACAAGGTCTGGCGCTTTCGCACAGCCGCCCAGGCAGCGGCGGGGTGGAGGACGGAGGGGAGGGGCGAGGGCGCGGGCCGGGCCGCTGCGCTCAGCCTCCTCCTGCTTCCAGGGCCACAGTCGCCGCCATGTGACCGAGGACAGTCCCGACCTTCTCGTCGATGTCCCCGACAAGACGCACTGTGCTCGCCTTCGAGGCCGCGCTTGGCAGCGTTTGTCGGCGTCCGCGTTAGCCTGCAGCCATTTCTCGACCTGCAGATGTAGGGTTCGCATGTGGCTGCCCACGAGCGCGACAGCCCAGAAGCGACCAACCCCATAGCCCCAATCCCCGTATAGTATATCATCCCTCCTTAATATTTTTATCTCCATGGGAGTGAACGTGATTCAATTGCCGCAGCAGGCGGGGAGGCCGCACTTTGTTATCCCTTCCAAAGCTCCTATCGTGGCTCTGATCCTCATAGCACTATGAATAATCCTTATTATCATGTTTTGAGGATGGCTCGGGGGAAACTCACAGTTTCGAAGATGTGCCGAATTCGCTATTACCAGTTTCCCGATGATGTTTCAATTGAAACGTTTTTAACATAAAAACACATTGTCGCGAACGTGTCATGATAATAGGAATGTCGCAGGCAAAATTCACATGTTCGTAGACTCGCTGAGCTCCCGACGATCAGTTTTTCCGACCTTGAGGACCGACCCAGACATCTTAGCATCGATATTCCCGGGAAAGAATGATCATCCCGTTTGGATTAAGAATTTCAAGATTCCCAGGGAATTCTTCTCTTCAGCGTGGGGTTCATACTCGTGTCGGTTTCCCCCGGGGTAGCCGCGTCCCAGATACGGGCGCGCCCGAGGCGGATTCAGGCCCGAGTCTGGGATCATCTGGTAACGGCCGCGCTGGAGCACCATCAGGGTTAAGAAAGACTGCCGACTGCGTTCTTCCGCGTGCGGCATGCCGCTGGGCCGAGGGCCCAGTGTGCCACCGGAGCCCACGCCGACGCGAACCGCGCGCACGTCTTCGGTGCGGATGCGCCCGCCTTCACCCCGCGCCTCGGAACAGCGGCCAACCGCCTCGACAGCGCCCTTCCAGAGTCAGCGGCGCGGACCCGGGAGGGCCAGCCGAGGGACAGCGCGGATCGGAGGCCAGCTCCTGCAGGCAGCTGGCACTCCAGCCCCCGGGCCGCCCACCGAGCTGGCTGCCAGGCCTACTGCGGCTACCGGGCCAGCTTCACGGTCTCACCTTCGATGCCCCACCGGCGGCGATCTTTTCGGTTGTTTAGCAGGGCGATGTTTGTTTTCTTCTTCTTCTTCTTCGGTTGTCAGACCAGCTCATAAAGGCAAACGGGCTGATTGCGGCTACCGCACGGGTCACAAATATTTCGGCCGATCTACGAGCGCGCGGACACCTTCTGTGGCAAATTCCAAGCTGAAACGCGGCGGACGCACAGCGAAGCCCAAGGCCTATGCCTCCAGCCAGAGCCCCCTGAGGAAGAGGGCCTTGCCCCTTGGAGGGACCCAATGTCCCGAGTGGCCGCATACCTCAAGAGGTCGAGGGAGCCTCTTGGGAGAGGCATACCCAGGGAAACGGCGGCCATGGGGACTATGGATCCGGCTAGCGGCTATGCTGTGGTGGCCCAACAAGTTACGGCCTCTTCGGTTACAAACGCCGGCCTCGCCTACGAATACTCCTTAGGCTGCCGCGATGGACATGCAGCAGGCTGAGCGACAGCAGCATGCCACGCTGCTGTTGCATGGTGAGCATGCTGAGCATTACGATCATGATTCGCATGATCATGCTCATCGTTCTGGGCTGAGCATCCACTCCTCGTGTTGTGCATGAGGAGGATGAGCGGCGTGGGCAGTAGCAGGATACGCAAGGGGATCAGGCAGAGCAGAGGTGGAGGCCAACGATAGGAGTGTTTGTTTGTTGTCTGTGCATCTTGCGTCGCGATGCCAGGTCGTCGACGCGCTCCACATGGAGGACGCAGTGGTGGGCAACCTGACGACGGAAGGCCCCGACGACGAGGAGAGCATGCCCCGTCTTCCCTTCCCCGTCTTCCCCTGCTCCTCATTCCCAGTATTGACCAGGGTTGGACCTAAACGGTGTTTTGGCGATTTCGTCTGCCGTTTCCGTTTCGACTTCGTTTTGAGGTAGAGCCGGATTGAAGACAAAACGAAGGAACACGACAACAGCACGAAAACGAAAAACACCGTTTCGGTCCAGCCTCAGTATTGACCTTCCCTCTCTCGGGCTCCCCCCCTCCCAGCACACAGAATGATGGGCCTGTGGGCGCACTGGCGCCGCCTACCCTCCGCGGTCGGGGCCGCTGGTGGCGTCACGAAGGGGCGGCAGCATGAGCCGACACGTTCATCGGTCCTCGATCCCTCGATCTCGATCCCTCGGCTTCGCTCCTCGGCCTCGATCCTCGATCCCCTATCCTTTCGGAGGTGGATAGACCTCCTACCCTGACGCGTCGATTAGGGAATTGGCCGTTTTCGGTTCGCGAGAGGGCGTCGCGGCCGTCATTGTTGTGGGTCCAGGTCCGTCGGTTTCGGTCCCAGGCCGTTTTCTCTAACAGGGGGTTTATTAAAGGGAGGTTTGTCCACCGCCGATCCTTGGTCCTCGATCCTCGATCTTCGGCCCCATCGAGGCAGCATCAAACCACTATCGGTTGAGCCGCCGCGGTATTCCGTCTAGGGCGGTTTCACCGTGACGGTTGGGCGCCATCGTCGGATGTTGCCACGGGTGCCCCTGGCCTGAGGAGTGTCCGTTTCCGAGCTGGTGCAGAAAAACCAGTTTGTTCGAAAAAGGTGGGAAAGTCGGGGGGGATACATGTGCAGGGGGCTGTTCGGACGCACCCCTACCAAGGATGGACGCCCCCCATCGTATGTCCCAGAGTTGGGCCCAACATGTCGGATCCAGTCGAAAACAGCCAACACGTTTGGAATTGGGGTCGGCATCCCCTCCGTTAAACATCGGGAACGACGACGTGGACGGCTCGCCCCACCGTTCTGATCTTCCTCTGTCTCGTCCTCCATCTTGCTCGCCCTCGCCTGCTCAGGACGAGTCCTGGGAGGAGGTCATGTGCAGGCCAGGGATGCTCTTCGACGACTCGACCACCAGCAAGGAGGGCCGCATCTCTTATCCGTCTAGGCCTCATGGTGGAAGGAGGAAGCGGAGGAGCAGCAGCAGCAAGGGAAGGGGAGGAAGAAGATGGTGAGGAGGAGGGGTCAGGAGGGCGGAGGGGGCACGGGGGAGGATGGCGGGGGACGGGGAGGGATGGCGATTTGGAGTGCACGGGCGGGTTATTGGAACGGTCGGCGTGGTGTTTGCTGGTTTGGGCCAGGAGTCCATTTCTGAAGTTGCACACGGTGAGCCGCAAGACATGAGGAGAAGAAAGAGGAGGAGGGACAATTGGGCGAGCAAGAGGAAGAAGAGATACCAAGTATGGAGTGCCGCCCCAGATGAGGTATCGAGTTCAGGAGAACGTTCCCGCTCAGTTTTGTAAGTCCCTCGAGGCCTTCTGTCGGACGATTGATGCCTCTTCCGCCTTATTCGTCTCCAGCTCCTCCTCCTCCGCCTCGCCCTCATCTTACCCTCGTCCTCCCCATCTCACTCGTCCTCCTCACACCTCTTCATCCTTCTCTGGCACCCTTCTGTCCGGCCTCTCATCGATCGGGCCAGCGAAGGGTTACGATGTGACGGGCCCGATATCGAACCCTCTCGGTCCGGCTTGAGTTCTCCCCCCCCGTTCTATCGGGGTGCATTCGCGGGTCTTTTGAGGCGCATCGGCGCACCCGCCGTTCGTACACGGGACGCTCCGCTCTCCTCTGCCTCATCCACGTCTTTCCCGTCTCTTCTTGCTCCCTCCTGATCTTCTTTCTTGTCGATGGGCGAAAACAATATCAATGACACACCGCCGTGGGCAGACCACCAGAGTGTTGCTGTTGAAGAAACAAAACGGGCTAAGACACTGAGTGGCTACCAGCCACAGCGTGACACTGCTGATTTCTTGTCCTCGCCCCCTCGCGCCCCTCTCGCCCCCGCGCCTCCCGCCGCCCTCCGGCAGGAGGCGATGCGTGTATTTTTCAGGCACCCTGAAATTGTCAGTGCAAGGGCGGCGCATCTGGAGAGCAGTTGTGAGGCAGCTCTGGTTCTCCTGGACCCGATAGACGTCCAGGCTTAATCTCTCTGATTGCCGCTCCTCCCGCGCGGCACTCACTTCTCTCCTGCGGAGTCGATGTGTCGTGCGACACGGCTTGCGAATGCACGAAGGAACGAGTTTCTTGGAGGTGGCAGGTGATGGGCCGCGTTTCCACTGCCACTACAATAAGTAGAAGAGGGGGGAATTGGAGGAGGAGGAGGAGGAGGAGGAGGAGGAGTTGAGGGAGGAGGAGGAGGAGGAGGAGGAGGACCTCCCGTCCTCCCTCCCCCCCGTCCTGCCTATGGCAGTGGTGTTGGGAGATGGGCCGATCAACAGGTGCCCCCCTCCCTTTCTCGTGGCTGTGGGGCGGCGGGGATCGGTCCGGCCCCGTGGCGCAGTGGCGCGGGGGGGGAGGGGGGGGCAGCGCGGCGTGCTGGCGCTCCGCGCGGCGCATCCGCCTGCGCGAAGCCACCAAGCCATCGGGCTGTCTTGGAGTCGGCTGGGGGGTCTGTCGGCGGCGAGCGGGGGGGGGGAACTTCGAACTTCGAGGTTCGAGTTTCGAGGCGGTTCTTCCTCGTTTTCGGCCTTTGGGGGCCGTTTTCGTACCCTGGGACCACCGAGACTCGATCTTGGGTGAAAACTCGCGTCGGATGGACACTGGGGGGGTCCCCGGACCAATTTTGACCGACATTCGGCGGCGCGCCCAGGGGGGGCAATCAGGAGGAGAAGGCCTTCTTAAAAGGCGGCGGGGCTTCTCAGAAGCCCTCCGGCCTCTTGAGAAGTCTCCAGTGTTCCTTTGGGGAAGGCCTCGAACACTCCTCAGAAGGCTCGGGAACTCCCGAGCTCTCTGAGTAGGCCCCCCCGCTCTCACCTCCCCCCCCCGCGCTGGTCGCCGTGTCTGAGGCTGCCCAGCACTGGCTCCGGCCAGCAGGAAGGTAAGGCGAGTTTCCAGGTTCTGGGCTCGAGAAGGTGTGTGGCCTCGGTACCCGCGGGCCGTGTTCGGGCCTCAGGACCGTCGAAAACGGATCCAGGGTGAAAATTTGCACCGCGGTGGATCCGTGCTGAACGAATTTGCCCTCATCTCACCCCCTCTTGACTGAGTTCCTCGAAGCCCAGCTGGCTCAGACCCCCTGCGTAGCCACCTCCAAATCCAGCTTGTCTTCTTCAAGCGACTCACAGAACCCAATGCCAGAGCTACGCGTGAAAAAAGAATTGGCCGCTCAGAGAAGCGGGAGAACTCAGGGCTGCACTACCATGGGAGCCATCCGGACGCACCCTAGCGAGGACGGACGCCCCCCCTCGTCCTTATAGTTCCGGATTTGGCGTCGATCTGTTGGCGCATTCGAAAACCTCACAAAGTCGGAGGTTGGGGTCGCCATGCCCTCCGTGATCTCTGGCGGACAGTTGGCAAGTCTACGCAGAAGGGGAAAGGACGGAACAGACAAGCTGCCGGAGCTCCGCGCAGATTGCTCGGACCGCCCCCCCCCCCCGGCAGCGCCTCGGGCGCCGCCCCTGGCGCGACCCGTCGTGCCAGGAAGGGGGGGCCCAGCGCTGATCCAAGAAGTCCGACCTCCAAAGTGTAGGATCCTGCTCTGCGCCCCATGCTCCACCGTTTGGTGGCCACGGGGCCCGAGGACGGGCCCAGGGGGGCCGCAGTCGTGGGACACCAAGCACCCCGACTGAAAGCAACGCGCCGTCGGAGATCCGGGCGCCTTCCGTGCCCACCGCTCTGGGGATGTCCGACACTTAGTATAAGCCCTGGAAACGACAGGGCCGTTTTTGTTACCGGCTCCGTTTTGCCGTTGTTGTTGCCGGTTCCGACGCCGTTTTTGTTACCGGTTCCGTCGCCGTTGTTTGACCGGTTCTGGCTCCGGTTCCAATCCTGGAGCCTTTTCTGTTGCCGTTTCCGGTCGCCGTTTTTTGCCGTTTCCATTTTCAAGGGGCTTTTTGTCGGAAACGGTGAAAAAACGGCCCTGCCGTTTCCGGGGCCCACTAAGTCCGACATTCCGTGTGGATGCAGTTTTCGCGCGTCGATCAGCTTCGGCCCGCAGCTGGCTGCGCCGAGTGCGCGCAGTGAGTCAGGCAGCGTGCGCACGTTTCTCAGGAGGGAAAGAGACACACAGGCACAATTAATCGTCGACTCCCCCCGAACATATGGGAAAATATGGGAAGTGGGGGGAAGACAAAGACCCCAAACATATGGAAATTCTTGACGCTTTGCGTATCCCCATCAGCCCATCCTACACCAGGCACTCGAACGAAGAGCGCCGATGATCGGCAGCTGTTCTCCTCCCCTCTTCCTCCTTCTCCTCCGCCTTCTCCTCCTCCTCCTCTCCTCCTCCTCCCTCTCCTCCTCCTCCTCCTCCTCCTCCTCCTCCTCCTCCTCCTCCTCCTCCTCCTCCTCCTCCTCCTCCTCCTCCTCCGCCTCCGCCTCTTCCTCCTCCCTGGTGGCGTATTGGAAGTGTCTTCGAACGTTTTGGTGGGCTCTTGGGCCTTGCGGGCGGGCGGGCGGCGCTCCGCCCGCCCGCGCGCAGAGCCCAAGAGGGGGTCCAAGACGTCTTTTGGAACAATCTTGGAGGAGATCGATCAACGAAGGGGGGTTCCCTAATTACAGCCCCCTCCTCAGGAGCCACGATCCTCGTGAGGGGTGTCGAATTTTAGCCTTCCCAGGAGTCGATCTTGGACGCTCTAACTACCCGCGGTCCCCCTGTCCAGGTCAGTGGGGAGGGGGTAGGGGGAGGGGTAAACCCCTCCCCGAAGGGGAAGAAGGAGGGGTGGAAGAGGAAACGCTCTAAACCACCGACGCCCAGATGGCTGGTGGGACTTGTTGGACACCTGTTATTTGTGTCTATTTATGTGTGTGTGTGTGTGTGTGTGTGTGTGTGTGTGTGTGTCCCAGGGCCCCTTCAGTTTCCCCAGCTCGTGCTCGGTGATTGCTCATTGTCAGTGATCTTTCTCCTCGATCCATACCCTGATGCTGCCCCCCACTCCGGCTGCGAGGGGGGGGGGGGCAGGGCATGGAGAGCAGATTTGGCATCCAGAGCTGGATTTGTATCACTGCCCCTACTCCGACCTCGCGTAGAGTCCTTGCGTGAGCAGGGGTATTGATGAAGCGTCGATCACCCAACCTCCTGGTTTCTGCATTCTTTCTCCCCTGCCTAAGACTGTTGTTATAAGGGTCCGGCGATAATCGGGGTCATCGCGCCCGCCCGCCCGCCCCCCCTCTCCCCAGATAGCCTGACCTTGTCGGTTGCGCATGTCGGGTGCGCGCGGGCATACGTGGGCTTGCTCATAGCGAAACGGTCAGGTTATCAGCTGGCACCTCCTCCCTCCCCCCACCCCAACACCAGATGACCCAGGCTATTGCAGACAAAATGAGAATTATTTGGATTCCCTGTCTCCCTGGTTCCTCCCCTCCCTCGTCTCGCCCACCTCATACATGCTTGAAAATAGGGTTCCAGTCTAAGAAGGCTTGGGCCACTGTCGAACGGGACACGTTTCTTGTAGTTTGATTGTTCAAGCCTGTTCTTCGTCAGGCTTCCTGGCAGGGCATGTTCCAGTCCTCTTGGTGTTCTCGTCCGCCGCCCCGTGGAGCAGGTGGGCAGCTGCCTGGTCGATAGCAAACACAAGTCACCCGCCTCCGTGGTTAGAGGGGAAGAATTGTAGCAATGTCGGGTTGGTCGGACGACCCCAGCAGCGTGCCATCGTGGAAGAAGCACCAAGCGTTTGCACAGAAAGCGAATGCGCATCACAGGCAGATGGGAGGACGACGCGCGTGTCATTGCTACTCCGTGTTCCTCCCTCCGCGCCCCCATCCTCCACGCCCTTCCCCCACCCTCCCACCACTCATGTCCGCTAGGCTTTCCAGATGGGGTCTGAGGAGATGGGGTCGGAGGATCGCGCCGCATCGCTGCTGCGTCGGCGATGCGGCTCGATCTGGAGCCTGGTGTTTGCACGTCGACGTCGTCGATGCATCGCCGACGCGTCTCCGATGCACCGCCGATACATCGACGATGCATCGGCGATGCGTCACGGTCCTCCGCCCCCAGCCGCTCGGACCCCATCGGGGACGACCTCTATCTCCCCCCGGGGCCGCTGGGCCTCCCGAGCCCGGGGCTCGCCAGGACGGCGTCAAGGAGCTCCACGTGTCCACGAAGATGTTCGCGCGCCTCGAGGCGTGGCGAGGGGGGAGCGAGGAGGGCTCCGCGGTCGGCGCTCGGTGCATACCCAGTCTGCTGCCCTCCACTCTTGGGCGCAAGGGTGGGAGGAGTATGGAGAGACAGCCCAGCACCTTGGGAGGAGGAGGAGGAGGAGGAGGAGGAGGAGGAGGAGGCGGAGGAGGAGGAGGGGGGGGGGGGGGCCAAGCCCAACCTACGTGATCCGCGAGGCGAACCGCGCGCCGCGTGGGGGCGGGGCTGGCGCCGAGGGGTCGCGGGCGGGCAGAGGGGAGGAGGAGGTTACAAACAAGTATGTATGCTGTGCTGTATATATATATATATGTATATATCTACTCTATATATATATATATATATATATATAGATACCTGCATGCTATACTAGACGGATGGATGCAAGCCAGCCAGACAGCACATCACAGCCTGCCTGGCCGGTCGTCGTGTATGTGGATGGATCTCCAATTCTCCTCATCAGCGGGCCTATCAAAATCCATATGCTTTTGTTTTGTTTTGTTTTTTCTCTGGGAGGGCCTAAGCCCAACCTACCTACCGCCTTCCTAATTCATGTTTTTATATATTTCTTCCGACCGACGTGACGCCCCGCCCCGTGTAACCGTTGCACAAGTTTGCAAATTGGCCTTGGACCTCGTGGTAGTCTCAAGCGAGAGCCCATGCGGAAAAGGAGCTGCTATCCATCCGTGCAATAGTTAGACATGCTCAGTTTTGCTCGAAGGGATCTCATGCGGATGCCACATGTGCACGCTTCTGGCACGTATTTGATACAGACTGAAATGCGAATGCGGTTGGCGCTAAGGCTCGGACGCATTTTTGGAGATGGCCCGCCCTCCTTCCTCGGAGCTGCTGCTGCAACACTTGAAACGAATGTGTGCGACGCGAAGTCGAGAGCCAAATCGTGAAAACGACCGGCGCTCCATCTTTAGGCCTCCTGTAAACTTTTGAGACGAATGTGCTCGGTGCTACTGAGAGAGCCCAACTTTGAAAACGACCCCGAGTGTGCGTGGCGCTGCGTCGAGAGTTTCATCTTGAAAACGACCCCCCTCCATCCGTGTGGCCGGTCCACAAGCCCAAGCCTCAGGGTCAAAAGTTGGTGAGGACGTCTCCGGCGAAACGCCTGGCCCGCCCTCGCAGGCGGTTTTTCTTCCCCCATCCCCGAGTTGCACCCGAAAAATTCGGCCGCTGAGACAAAGGGGGACAACCCTGGGATACACCCCAAGGGGGCTATGCGGACGCACCCCATACCGAGGGTGGGCGCCCCCCATCGTACATCCCAGGTTTGGGCCCCGCATGTCCGGTCCACTCGAAAACCCCCCGCAGCCTGGGACCGGGGACGACGGGTATATCTCCCCTGCTTTTGCGCCCTGCCGACACGCCCGGGGGTGCGACCGGGCGGAGTTCTCCGTGGCGCATCGGCGACAGGGACGGAGAGGGGGTGGGGGAGAGGGGGTAGGGCCCCCGGTGGTGCCCTCCAGTACGGCGGCTCCGCGAATGCGAAGAATGCCCCGGAGCTCTCCGCGATGCCAGACATCGACGGCTTCCTCGTCGGCGCGCGCGTGTTAGCGGGTGCTGTCTGCAGGAGGAGGAGGAGGAGGAGGAGGAGGAGGAGGAGGAGGAGGAGGAGGAGGAGGAGGAGGAGAGGGGAGGGCAAGAACCCAGTGGGGCCTGGGGTGGAGGAGCAGGGAGGAGGGAGGATGGCGATGAGGAGGGGAGGGGAGGCCACCAGGGGGCAGGGATACGGGAGTCAGAGTCGGGGTACGGGGTACTCTGCAAGGGGGGCAGCAGGCATTTGCGCAATAGTGCATGCAATAGCTCATATTGTGCACGTGCATCATTGAATTCCCCGTGAACTAGATGAGATGGGATGGTCCGCGCGCGTGCAATATCTTGTTTCTGTGATGAACCAATTTCGATTCTCGCTTTTTCGAGAAGTAGATCCCAATTGTTGACGTGCCGAATGCAATTGTTGTGTCGGGCCATGCGCTAGTGGATCTGGCCGATGCAATTGTTGAGCCCGCTGGCGCGTAGTAGTTCACGAAACAAGCTGTTGCATGTGCGCTTGCGGACCCCGTCAGAGCGGACCCTGTACCCAGCTCCAAGCGAGGGGGAGGTGGAGGTGGACGAGGAGTTGATGGGAAGGGGTGACGGAGTGGATGTAGAGGAGGAGGAGGAGGAGGAGGAGGAGGAGGGGGACGAGGAGGAGGAGGAGGAGGAGGAGGAGGAGGAGGAGGAGGAGGAGGAGAGGAAGGGGGCGGGCAGGGCGAGAGTGAAGAGGAGCGGGAGGAGGAGGAATGGGGTGCGAGGTATCTTAGGGATTTGATGACACACCCTGTACCTACAGGACCTGCCACAGAGGGCCAGCGATAGGCCAATGCCGAGCACCGTGTGCCGAGCCAGTGCCCAGCAGACAAAACCGAGGAGAATCCAGCGTGGTGACGAGGCGGCAACCAGACCCCAAAACACCGCCCAACGGCGGCCAGAAGTTCGAGCAGAGCCCAGCCCAACGCGACGAGAGACCCGACCAGATCGGGTATAGCCAGGACCCCAGGTGAAGGGATCCGGTCAGTAGTAGGGCCCTGGTGCCCCAGCATTTGCCAGAAGCGCTAAGCCAGGTCTGCCGTAGTTTGTGCTTTTTCGGGTGACGGCAGTTCCGGTTAGTGGAACGGGGCGGGGGGGGCGTCCCACTATTTTTGGATCATTTTTGGAAGCACAGTTTTTGAACTATAGTGGCCACAACATGGTCTTATTTTGTGGCAATGTTGAGCCATATAATCATTTTTAGGCCGCAAAAGGATGATACCCAAAGGACTATATTAAGAAAAATAGCCCCCTTAAATGGACTACATTAAAAGGGGCGGGGGGGGGTCCCCCACTGCACATCGCTAAACCGGGTCCAACGAAACCCCGCTCTGCCAACGCCCGACCAGAGGCCCAGCGGCCACAGACTTTCCAAGGGGTACTCCGCCCGCGGCGAGACGGGGGCGGAGCCAGCCACGAGCCGCCCGCACCCCATCAGCCCTTCGAGAGGCGACCCGGGCCTGGACGCGGCCCAACTGGGTCGCCTCATTGTCTGAAGTCGGGCGTGTCCCTCTACAGGGGGGATACCCAAGAATAACCAAAAAATGCTCCGGGGGCATCTTTTTGTAGCACTTTTTGAACATGTTTTGAATCGTTTCCGGATGTTTTTGATTTTTCGTTCAAAATCCGCCTGTAGGGGGACAGGCCCGACCTAAGCCTGGGCGTGGCCCAAGTGGATCGCTTGATGGTCAGGGAGGTCGGTGGATTGCCTAACAGGGCGCGCTGGCTCACGGTGGATTTCCGGCGTGGATTTTTTGGGCAGGCTCGAGGGGGCGGAGTGAATGCGGCAGTGGATGCGTGGTCGGCTGACGTAAGTTTACTTAGGTTAGGCGTGTCCCCCTACAGGGGGATTTTCGATGAAAAATAAAAGATACCCCAACAATAATCAAACAAAAATCAAAAGTAGTCTGGGGACTAGTTGTTGAGCATTTTTGGATCATTTTTGGGGTATCTTTTATGTTTCGTCGAAGATCCCCCTGTGGGGGGACGGGCCCGACTTAAGGGAAGGCTCGAGGGGGCGGCAGTGAATGCGGCAGTGAGTGCGTGGTCGGTTGACGTAAGCGGTGCTCACAGTCAACCCGCGCAGTAAGGATGGGCATCCTTCCCAAGGGTAGCTTTGCATCCTTGCCTCCTCAGTCCATCCTTGGCCACTTTCGTTGGCCGCGCTCCGCTCGAAAGCCTTCGGAATGGGCGTCCAGGGCCCGTGCATCCCTATCGCGCACCCTTCTGATACGGGCCGAATGTAATCTGTTTCAATGTCCGCTCACGTGGAGCCTCGCTGGCGTTGTGCCATCCCTTACTTTTTCACGCAGCATCGTTACCATGACGCGTCGACCCCGCCGTGGCCCAGCATCGAGGGTGCGACGTGCGACCTGGACCGCATTAGGACAGGTGGCTTTGTGTAGAGGGGGAGGAGGAGGAGGGAGAGGAGGAGGGGGGGGGAGCGGGGGGAGGAAGCGGAGGAGGGGGAGGAAGAAGAGGCTGGCCCGATCCGCGCTAGGCCGTCGAGGAGGAGGAGCGTCTGTGTGGGGGGGGGCGTCCTTGTGTCCTTCGTGACTGGGCCTGCTGGGAGAGCTCCTGGGACCCCTGGGCCCTCGGCGAGGTGGCTTGTGCTCTCGGTCCGCGCTTTCGTGGCCATGTCCTGACTGCATTTGGGGGTCGTTTTTCGGGCATGCCCCTCTACAGGAGGACTACCCAAACTAGTCAAGACATGGTCTGGGGACGATTGTTCGACTATTATTTGCTGTTTCTGCATATTGTTTGATTGTGTTTAACGTTTCTTCCAGAATCCGCCTGTTGGAGGACATGCTCGATCTGATTCTTCCCTCGGGGTGGTGCCATTGCACAACCTGGTAGCCCGCGTACTTGGTGCACTCCCTGGCAGGAGTTTGAGCACTGTAAGCTGTGCCGTGGTGCTGTTCTCAGTGCCTTGCCCCAGCGGTGAGCGGAGCTCCTGGCACCATCAGCAAGGCTTTCCCTGAGCCTCGCATCCGTCGATTCCGTGGGCCGTGGGCATTCTCCTGTTTTGGACGGGGCTTCGCGGGGGTGGTCGCGACCGTCTCAGGGAGGCGCACTTTCAGACCAGGGAGAGCAGCGCAAGTGCGCGAGGGTAGTCGCGCTTCCCGCCTTGCTCGGCGCGGCTGGCGACGTCGGATGACCTAGTGCTTCCCTCCATCTCTCCCCTCACTCTGGGTCCCCTTCCTCCTATCCCTCCTCGGTTGCAGCTCCTAGGAGGTTTGTCTCCGCATCGTCGCTAGCACATCCGCGGGCGGAAACCGTCACTCCCCAGCCCGATCCCGTGCATTCCAGCTCAATCCTGATCAATCTGTCTTAGTCTTGGGCGTAATCCGCCCTAGCCCTGCTCAGTGGGCTTTCATCGCTGCCACGAAGTCTGTTGAGGAGTTGCC